TAGATGCTGTTTGTTTTTACACTTTAGTTTGATTTATTTTCCACAGTTTTCAGTCAAGTATTGATTTGTCACTTTGGCAGCCTGGCCTTCTCAAGACACAACACCTTCAGTATCGACTGTGTTATACTGCTGTATATTTTACCTGATTCTTCTTCAGAGATCATGTATTGACTAAGTCTTCTTCTCTTCAAAACACATTTCTCCTGGAGAAGTTCTAGATTCAGTTGAAAGCTCTTAGGCCAGTTTTAATCTATTTGTATAAAACTGCCACATGTGGCTGACTGGGTTTTCTCAGTGTCATTAAATCACAAAGAGGCAAAGCAGCTTCTTATTTTTCATTCTTGTCATCCTACGTATCCAGTTCATCTGTGTCACTGCTGTTTTTTTCTTTTCTTCCACCGTCTGAGTCAGAACAGTGATGATTTAAAACAAGCACAGCAGTTGCTGTTTGAAGTTTTTGGAGCGACATTATTATGACTTCTCACTTAAAGGTCAAGTTTAGCCACAGGCATGATAAAGTAGATCGGGAAAAGGGAAGGATGAAGGGGTTAAAGGAGAGAGAAGTGTTGAAATAACAGATTGGTCCTCACAGATGTTGCTGAGGCACAGCAGAGGTCTCTCCCATAATTAACACAGATCCAGTCCCACCTAAACTCTTCAAGACTTAGGCTAATATAAGAAAAATACAATTATTCCAAGGAGCTGTATGTTAGAAGGGAAATGTCTGAGTTAGTTTATCCCTGGAGATTTTTCTGCCAGCACTAGTAAAAACTAGTGGGCTAGATAATGTCTGAGTGAGCCCATGCATGTGAGAATAAAAACTGCATGTGAGTGGGCCTGATCATGACATTTCTAACATGTAACAGAAGCAAAACTGTGAAAAAAAGAATACAAATATCTCAGGATTATAAAAAGGTGCCATTCATATAGAAGACGCTGACAGAGATGTCAACTTGAAAAGACAAATAGATTTGAGAGCTTTAAATCCCATTTTACAATTTGTTTTTCTCAAACCACCATGATCTTACCTGGTCTTGATTATAATGTTAGTGCCACTCTAGTGAGTCATGCAGTAGTTCTGTACTCTGAGACTAAACCTTAACTTTTACAACGTCCTGGCACTTTCCCTGCGAATCCACTGAGCGAGGAATCAGAAATTATTTAATTTCACCTCTGCCGACAGAGAGCAGGGGTGATCTTTAAAAAATACGTGCACTCAGGCTTTGATTAAGAATGTTTTGTAAAGAAATCTGCCTTCAAACAGTGAGGAAAAAATGCTCTTTGACCTCAGGAGTCATTTGTTTTTCTTTAAGCAGATTGGCTAAATGTTTGGTGCAGGGAAGCGACAAGTCAAAGTGTAAATCTTCTGAAAATTCTCCTGTGTTCCAGAGTTGTCACTGAACCTGTCCCTCCCCTGACCCCCTTGTCTCCCTTATCTTTTTAGACTCTTTAGCTCACATATGTTGCCTCTTTGTCACTCTCCCATTCTCTTCCCTCCCCTTCTTCTCTGTTGCAAGTTTCAAGTTGTGTTGGCGGTTGGGCTGACATCAAGAGTTCAGCCAGGTGGAAGGTCAGCCATGCTGCCTTAGGGGGAGAAGGCTTTAGATCCCCCCAAATATTTATGATTCTGCTCATATTGAGACCATAATCTAATAACAGCTCTCACATTGTTTGACAAATTAGTTTCCTTGTCATGTAGAGTTCAGCATCCTGTATAGAGAAGTGGTCTGCTCTTATTGACTTTATTTTAGTGTAGAAGTGCTGTTGTTATACATTTCTCTTGGGGGCCTGTAGCAAAGGCTTCAGATATATGCACTTCATGTCTTGATGTCATAAGTCAGTGTATTGTATTTGATGTTTTGTGTAATGGAGAAAGTAACTTAAACACTGGTCTACAGACTGTCTGCAGATCTAAATGTATTTTTCTTATAAATGATGGTTCTATGCCAATTTCCAGCCCTGCTGGCATGCTGTGTCCCAAAATACATGGAAGTGGAAAATGCTCTGTAAATTGTCACCCCTGTAAAGTTGTTTTGAATGTCAAAAGACGGGACAGCCTCTGTATATTGCTATCTGCCTCTTATTTAGATGTGTGGAGAGCAGGCCCTTCCACATCCAACCACACAAGTATACACACACACACACATGCAGCCATAATGAGCTTCCACATCAGCTGTTTTCCACCAGTCAGTTTATTGTGTGCAACCTTCTATTTCTACCCCGTGCAGGAGCAGACCTATTCAGAACCAGTAAACAGGAACATTGTTGTACTTCTCCCTCCTTTCAAAATCTTCTAAACAAAAATTCTCATTGTTTACTTCCCTTTTGCTTGGAGATAATTAAAGGACAAGGAGACTAACCTCTGAGATGTCCTCTGTCTCTGTTTTTGTCCTGAACTGTCTCTGTCTTCCAGCTGCTGCACATTTGTATTGAGGGATGGGGGAACTGGCGCTGGTCAGAGGCCTTCAGCTTGGACAACGTAGGGACTCTGCTGAGGACCATTCAATACAAAGGACGCACTGCCTCACTCATCATCAAGGTGGTGCAACTCAGTGGTGTCCAGAAACAGGTACTGTTAGTTTTGTTTTTTTAAACATATTTTATTTAAACATCTTTCTTCCTCCTACAACCATAATCACTTAAACATATATATCATTTTCAAATGAATGTCTGTATTTTAGATGAGTGATAAAGATAAGTGAAACATTTCTTAAAGTTACAATCTCACTGTTGCTCTAATCAAAACATTTCTTCGTTTTCTCTTGGGCATCCATTTTTTTCTCACCGTCAATATCAACAGATGTAGTTTGTTAAGTTGTCATATTTGGTATTTTCTGAAGAATTTGACATTTTTCATTTTTCTAACCACACCAAGGTGCACTACTGGCAACTTTTCCATTGACAAGTGAAAATGTGTGGACGATATAAACCACAGGAGGACCAACATTTTTAACAATGCCATGAATATATGGGATCCTGCAGATTATTTTGCTGCTAACCTGTAAAAGATCTTGCAAATGGTTTATTACCTCAGAGGAAACAGCACCATGTTCGTGTAATGCCTGTTAACTGCTGCTATGGAAATCTGGCCGGTTTCCCAGCAATTGTTTATGGATGAGCATTTTTAATATCCAGTGCTATGATTAAGTATTTGCCCAGCTAACAACACTGTATTGTGTTTTTGTCAGTTTTTGTAATCTGTTTTACAACACTAAAACATAAGTTTATGAGCTTTAAGCCGACCAAAAACGCAATATCCCTCATCAATTCACAAAGAAGATTACAGGAAATCATAAACCAACCATAATTGAACCATAAACCAGCGGCATTCTCCTTTTTATGCCAAGAATAGTAGTGAATAATGGCAAAAGGCAGGGTTGCTGTATTCACAAAGATATAGAGATACCATCAGATTATAGCAGTGACAGTTTATTATATAAACAGTGTCATGTGGTTCATGTCACCCTCCCATCATATTAACACCACATGTTGACAATTGTTAATAAATACCCCCTGTATTAATACCCCTTAATATGAATACACACACACACACAGTGCAGGGAAATCAGGGCTGCTACTGACACCTTCAAATTACTTGACTACCCAAAACTTATTCAACTCACATTAATATAGCACAGAAAAAATACGCTGACTGGTCAGTGCTGGGAAATGTTGTTTATTACACCCATGCTACACAGGAGCAGCTAGATGTATTGAAATCTCTAGCGATTGTCACAGCAAACGTTATGGTCGGACAAACCTTTCTGGATTTTGAGGAAATTTAAATTTACATACTTTGACGGAAAAGACAGGTTTTTGGTCCATACGTGTCTGACATCTCATTCTGCCTATACCAGTATTGGCTTGTGAAAAATGACCATAAAACAAAAATAAACCTGCATGGGATCTACAGGTAGAGTTGAGAAAATCAAACTCTGTCTAAGTTAAAAGTTGAACCCTCTCTCTGTTATGCCATGCACAATGTTGAATAGAAGGTGTAACAAAATCTGCTTCTGAGGACTTATAGTAGGGATTCTCCTCTGTTGTCTTTTGCTCCAGGTAATATTCTGTGGGCGGCAGGTAATGTGCAGCTACCTGACTCAGGACATTGAGCTCCGAGTGGTGCAGCACTATGTGGGGCCTGACAGTCAGACAGTGGTCAGGGAACACTGTGATTGCCTGGAGGCTGGGGCCAAGTTGCCTTCCTATGTGCTGGAGGACACTGAGATGACAGAGCTGTGTGTGAGGGCTCGAGGAGATGAAGACTGGTCCCAGGATGTCCAGCTGGAGAGGAGGAACCACAGCAGCAGCTCTGTCGTACAGGTACACTACATGACACTTAGGCCAACCGTAACCACAATTTGGCACTGGAACTTATTTCCATGACCAGACTGAACTGGTGCTTGTTGTGGGGCTGTTTTCCCAAAGACCTGTCGACTTTTTACTGTAGTTTAGTTATTGGCGACATTTGTTTTTTCAATTGTTGTTCACATTTGATTTTTTACAGCTCTTGACAGGCCTCATTATCCGTCCTGTTTTGTAAAACTTTTCTGCAACTCTAAGCTCTAAAACAATGGGCAAATATCTGCCTTTGTTGTTAATGGCACATGAGATTAAAGCTTGTGGAGTTAGCCTTCACATGGTTTGTCTCTAAATTCATCTCAGAATCAAATCTCCTAACTATAAGCACATGCGTATAGTCTGTAGTAGCTCCAGAATTATTGAGTCGATTGTGCAAATGGAAGCTGGACCTGCCACTTTGACCAACCAGGTAGATGTACACATTGCAAACACGACCACTTCCAGTCCGCTTTCCATCCACATTCACACACATGTTTGGAAATGGTGACAAGACCACCAACTGTGACCGGATCCTCTTCTCCTGGGTGGCCACAGTGGCAGAGCTTGTATGTTGCATCTCACTGTTGGAGAACAAATTGAGATCTTTCTCTCAGATAGGCTTACAAAGGCCCCTAAAACATAACCCAACCATGTTGAGAGGGAGAAAATACAGTTTATGCTCTCTCATAACAACACTAACCATAGCCAAACACTAGCTGATGGGCACGGCAAAAGGCTTTGAAGGCATTTTCACACTGCTGGATTAGCGCCAGATGATCACATCTCCCCTCCATCCTTGCTGGATTTGCACTTTCTTGTTTTTCTTCATTCTCTCTATGCTCTTTCTTTGTTCTCTTCCTTTATAATGTTGTTAACGGCTAGCCATTTTACAGCTCTAGCTTCTGTGTGGGTCTGAACATCTCTGTCTCCTCTCCAACCTCTGCTGTTATCTCTTCTCCTCAGATCCGCCATTCATTACACATATGGAGGCTTGGCTCCAAATGAGAGAGCTGCCTGGACTAGTAGCTGAGTCCTTAGATCTCTCTATCTCTGTCTGCTTCCCATTTCACTCTGTTTTATCCCTTTCTTTTACTCTTTCGCCCACACACTGGCTCGCCCATTGAACCTAGTTGTTAACTTATCCACTTTATTTATTTCAACCTTTGGCATCCAGCTTGTCCACCTGTTCCACCCTCTAACTCTCACCTCTTTCGATGCCCATCACCTCTCTTCTCTATATCCTGATTCTCTGTATCTGTAATTTATCTGAAGTAACTCCCCTTCCTCATAACCCCCCTTATCTGTTATTTTCACCATTTTCCCAGCCATGAGTGTTTTAGGTGGATCAGGGTTATGGCAGTATGTGTCACCCCCCCCTTCCCAAAAAAGCTGTTTTCTATTGAAGTGAATATTCCCTCTGTTTCTTTTCTCTACTCTGCTGTCCCCACCAGTGAATTAAGTCCCCAGTGTGTCGCAAACTAGGCCGCTTGTTACGTGCCTTGGCATCACTAGGTTTTAATGAGAACAGAGGAGTGAATGAGACAAACACCAGTGACACATTATGAGTGCTCAGCCTTCGGTGGACATATCGTCAGTCTTTAAATCTTGCTAGATTTAACTGCCTGTAATGGCCCATTATCTAGCACTAACATCTGTCAGTTGCCTTAGCTATTATATTGTGTTACAGGCTTTATGGGAGACTTAACTTTAAACTACTGGCAGAAGCCAAGAAACAAAGTTTTATAGGACAAAACATGACAATTTGTCACTGATGGAGGCAATAAACATCCTGTCTGTGAGTGAGAGGCAACAAATGCATTTAAGTGATCTGATATCCATATTTTATATTCTAATCACAAACAAAGTTGCCCGTCAGCATTCCTTATCAGTCTTTCTCCTGTGAACCCTTTGAAATTGGTTGGTAAGATATGAGACGTACTGATAAAACTTCACCCTCCTTAGTTCAGAATGACATCTGTCAATTATCTTTTGTTGACATTTTTTGAATTGGACAGTTGGATTGATAATTACTGAGACCAATAACAGTCAGCCTGCCTCCTTTCAGGTGCCTTGTTCCAGTGGTTCTTTACTCTATGTGTGGTGCACTCTCATCACCATTGAACCTGACTCTCACATGCAGCAGAGAGTGGTGGGTATTCTGCGCACACACACTTACATAAACTATTATTTCCACATTGTGAAAGTTAAGGTTTTTGTCATCTGTTGAGACTGACATGATTTGTTTTTTGTTTTTTTTTGTGTATTATTGTCGCTTTATTTGTGTTATATTTTCAACCCCAGTCCATTTTATAAGAATAGCTTGAGATTATAAATAAGCATTAAATTAAGCGTTAAATCATGAACAAAAATATAAAAATATTGTTCATAAGGAATTATGGCAATAAAATTATTGAACCTCTAAGATTATTATTATGCTCAGCTAACTATTTGTCTATTTAAATGTTCTACACTCAATGTGTTTGTGCACCAATTATCACTGATCCCTGCTGTGTGTGAATGCAATGTTTCAGGTTGTATTCAGTCCACTGTTCGTCATGAGGAGCCACCTGCCAGATCCAGTGATCATCCACATAGAGAAGAGGGGTCTCGGACTGAGAGAGAGCCAGCTGATACATGGACAGGGCCACCAGGAGCCCCTGTTAAACACTGAGGCTGACCTCACCCACCATCTCACTTTCCAGGCCAGGTAAAAAAAAAAAAATTTGATACACTAATACCATGTAGTACATTATGTTGACCAAAAGTTATATTTTTAGGTTCTTACCGTTTGAAGCTAAGGTAGATCAAATTTAAATAATAGGATATTTTAACAATAATTTACCTTTCTACATATCCCTACATATGAACCCTACTCAGAATCTCGCCTCAGCCTGAGGCAGCCCTCCATCTTCTCTCCCAGTCCTCTCTTTTTCCGATCAGCAGGACAGATTCACTGAACCATTTACATCTCTAAAGCCAATGTTACATTATGCCATAAGCAACCATCACCTACTGCACAAAGGACAGAGTCTGACTCCCTGCCATAATGGATTTGTCTCCATTTACAAAAGAGGGAGAGACACCTACTTAAGATTTTCTCACACAACGTTCTCGTTTCATTGAGGCAACATGGAGACAAGATCCAGGGGGATCCAGGCACATTTTAGTAGAACAGGAAGCAAGCTTGGCAGCAGCTGAGACACAGCTCAATTTCCAACATGTCAGGCTGGACCATAATTACACCTCATTTAGATACAGGCCCTAACAAAGAGCAGCTTTTTGGCCATGCATGGACTCCATATTTTGTTTGTGTGTGTGTGGAGAGGATGTGTGTATGCACACATGTTTGCGTGGGTGGATGAGTAGTGTATGTGCACATGTGTCATTGAATTTGTGTGTGGTCTGTATCTGTCATTGTCTTTGTTAGCTGTGTGCCAACATAAGTGTGACAGTCACCACTTCATCATGCGCAGGGTCTGTTACATACATCACTACTGCTCCTGTTACTCTGTCCCAGTTTGTCATTGTGGGTTCTCACTTTCTCATATTATCCATATCCTCTTGTAAGAGACAGCCCTTTATACAGTTCATTTTAGCAGGCTCCACTATAAGCTGCATCAATTGTTAAAATGTGTGGCTGCATCAAAATTTGCCCATAAAATAAATGTCATGTGTCGTTTGTGTAAGTCTTATGTAGGTTATATAGTTAAATAACATCACAACTATACTTTGTGTGTCATGTCTCGTACATACAGTCTAATTGACAGAAGTTATGGTCCAAATAGTCTTTCAGTAACACAAGTGTTTATGTTTCAATATAGATGGCCCCAAAGAAAATAACTACCACATGTGCATATTGTATTGTTGTTGCTCCTACTGTATTTGTTATCTGTTATTTATGTTGCTGTATGCAAATCCACGTAAAAAAGATCATCCCTTGGTAGCAGCCCATGGTGGATGAATAAACAGAATAAACATGTAATTGACTCCCGCCAAGATAGTTTTTTGCTGTAACTGTTGTGTGTTTAGATATTTGGTTGCAACGTTTGTTTTGATTTCAGCTGCCATAAAGGAACCACAGTGGTCATACAGTGACTGGGAATACATTTGGCCCCTTCACGCACACAAAAAACAAGCTCAGAAACAATTAAGTGTCTTGTCTCTCTGGATTGCAAACACAGTGTGTTCACAACCCGTCTCGTGCCTTAACTGTCTCTCACCACACACATTTACATACTCCACTTCCTTGGCCACCCAACACAATCCATCCTTCATCCCTCTCCATCCTCACAAGTGCACACTGTAAGCCACAATTGTAAACATACCTTTACACATGTACATATTTTGTACGCATACACATGCACACAGACCCACCCCAACCACCACCACCAAATCTCTACCCCAAACCTCTGGGACAGATCCAATCTTGAATGTTCACTGGTCAGAAGCTCATCTTTCCTTCCTGTAATTACACATAGTTGTGGGCTCTAATGGACGAGGTAGAGTGCATAGCTGCGGTCTGCGACAAAAGAGTCACAGACAAGTCTTAACCAGAACTGTTATGTCCTGCTCTCCTCATATTGGCCACCACATTAGAGAACTGAGGGTTACAATCAGAAGCCTCTTCCAGCTTCCCCCCTCAGGAGCTGCTCTGGATGAAAAGCTTCCTGTCAGCGCCTAGTCCCTCTCCTCTGTCTTGCCCCAGATCCATAAGCAACAGCCCCTGTGTTCCTTTTATAGCACAATAGGCTCTATTAATAAACTCTTCCCTGGGGTAAGGGGGCTGCTTTGCTTTAGCCAAGTGGAACTGGATGCTGTCTAGTGCAATAGAAGAAGCCATTGCAGTGTTTGGATTTTGTTATTTTTCTCCTTGTTGTAAAGACATAATTGACCAGTGTCTGGGGCTGAGGTATCCAATAGGATTATATAGTGCCGTTTAGCTTTTCCTGTGATCTTTGTAAATTACTGTTTGTAAGGCAAGACAGCATGTCAGGAAGAAAACTCCAATGAAAAGGCAGATTCAAACCGCTCAAAGTTTTAGGGTAAAAGCAGAGTTCAAGCAGAGGTCAGTTTAATTGCTCTGAACAGAACAATGGGTATAGTCATTTGCTGTCAAGAGATGTCTTGTTCTATAGTGAAATAAAAAAGTGCACTTGAATTGTGTGTGGCGTAGAATAAGTAAACATGCTTCTAAGCCAAATTTGCTGACAAAACACACAGCAGTGGTTCAAATCGTGTGCCTTCATCGCTCCAAAAGTATGTAGGTTTTCATTTCAAGCAATCTCTAATCATACCATCCACCAGAGGAGATAATCAATTATAGAGCTTGGCAGGAGGACCTGCATGTTGTTGGGTAAAAATGGCACATGGTTGATGATCACTGAAAGTATTTATATTTAAAAACTATTTGGCTGTGAAGTATATACTTCAAAAGGAAAGTAAATGTATGTGTCACATTCAGGCAGGTCTTGATAGAGAGATCTGTTATGATTTTGTGATCGTATTCTGCCCCACAGGGAAGATGAGGATGCTTCTCACTGTGCTGTGCCAATCTCCACCAACCTGATCAAACAAATAGTGAATAAGACTGCAAGTGAGGACAACCTGAAAGACATCCTGGCTGATTTCTATGGTCCGAAGACCTCTACTGAGCTGCCTTGGCCCTACGTCACCAAAGATACTGACAGGTACTGCTCTGCAAATTTTGTATAATGAATGTTATCTTATAATGTCTGTTTGGGAAAACACAAATATCCTCAGACAAAGTATGATGATTATTTTGCACTAAACTTTCATGACTACAAATCTTGACCCCAGGTGAGTAGGATAAACAAGCTGAAACAAATCACAGTATGGAAACAATAATGATCCACGTTGTGAGCCAAATTCACATTCATCCAAAGTCTATGGGCTATAATCCAGCATGACACCATGACACCACTTGATCCTTTGTAATAAGTCAACGTGCATAATTATCTTTAATATTTATTATCACACTTCTGTGGAAAGTTGGCTGGTTACGATTTTATAACATCAAGACCCACCAGTGTGTTTGTTTTTTTGTTTTTTGAAATAGTTGGCTTCTTACATCTTCTCTCCTCAAAGTTGTGCAAGCGAGCCTTTCGTGAGGGAGGCTTCTCTTTATTGCTTACTCTTTGTTCACATAATAAAACAGTTTACTGCAAAGACAATGCAGAGCCATGCATCAACCATTAGCAGCAATCCCTCGGCAGTCCCCACGGACTGATTTAAGCTGTCATTCTGTCAAAGTCCCATGTTCTCACACAAGTCACAAGGCCTTACAAAACATACAGTGTTTATACTGTATACATGCATATCTCTGCAAGTGTGTATACAGTATGTGACCCATGCATGAGTTTACATATACTATCGGGCAGAACACACATTTGATTCCCTCCACATGTGTCACTCTGGAACTCATCTTTTGTCACAAAGCAATCACATCTTGATAGCAGCGGTAGAAGACGTGGCCACATGCTCTCCCACAGACTCCAAATTACAAAGAGAGCCTGTGGTTGCCTGGATTTCTCTGCTCTCTATACATACACAATCACACACAGATTGTTGCCCAGTACATTTGTACACACTCATAACATTATGTTGCATATGCACGCCACCATATGTATTGTTCACCCTTAAATGTCACACACAAGGTGTCAGGGCTTCTATCTGTTGACTGGTGTTGAGTTTCTTGGTCAGCCAAGCCTCTCTCTTCCCTGTGAGATAAAAGCCCAAAGGCCAGAGCATATTTCTCATGGCAAAAACCCAGAAATCTGCAACTTAATGTTCTCAAGGAGCAAAAGGAAAAGAAATGGTAAGAGAAAAGGGGAAGAAGTGTTATTAAAAGATTAATAGCACTGATCGCTATCTCTAAACACACTCAGAACTTGGACAGCAAGTGAAAACCACAGTTTAATTTGTATATTTTTCCTTATTGCTGACAACAGTGACACAGTTTGCTGTTTGGAGACTGTTCAGTCTCCATGGCACAGCAGACGAACCAAACCAAATGAAGTCCTTGGCAGAGAGTGTGTAAATATTGTGTCTTAAATGGACAGGGGAAGTTGAGAGTGGTAAATGTTATTTTTTCTTTCTCTGGTTGATTTTTAGTGGCAGCAAGGCACCTCCACAATCATTAAACAAACATCTTGTAATGGTTGGGGTTAGGGTGAGCTCAGGCTTGAGGCCGTTTGTGTTCAGAGTGGTGTGCCTCTCAAACTTCACACGTTTAAAACTCTCAGCTCCAGTTCTGGCAGGTTCTGACAGAAGCTGCTGAGCACATTTCTTTCAATTAGCTTTTGAGTGAGCACTCTAATGTGATTAATGAGCCCTGCACTCTGCTGCCTTTAGCCTTGAGGTCACACACACACACACACACACACACACACACACACACACACA